GCAACCATTCATATGCGTTCATTCATCAGTACTAAGTAAAGCCTTCACCGCTGTGGCGGCGGCGACCACACAATTTGCTAAACTTTCACTTGTACCTACGAATGTGCTGGTGCTGGTGCTGCTTCTGTGGGCACTAACTGCTGCTGCTTAATTAAAATGTCCGTTTCCAATATGCATGTATGTATGTATGTTTGCTTGTATGTATCTACATAAGTACATAGTACGAACCCTCAAACGCATAGCTCTCCCCACCATAAACATTAAGCTACAGCGAGTCTCCACCACTCATTCCTTCCTTGAGTTCGCTGTCGCTGTTGGCGCTGCAACCGCAAGCAGCAACAGCTTCGCCTTTTGGGTTTTCTGGCATTACTTGCCTCTCATATTTCGTGGTGTTTTTGTTGGCGCTGCGGCTACAGTAGCACGCTATTTGGCCGTAATTACTACAACTCGGACGGCGCTTAGCCACTGTGATACGAGGTACAAGGCAAAAAGGGATACGCCCCTTCACGCATCATGAACGATGAAACGCCAAAAAGCGCGCTACAAACACACGCGCGCACTCACTCATTTGAATGTGCATGAATTTGTGTTACTGTGTTTGTGTGTGTGTGTGACTACCTGTATTAAACGTAAGGCGCCGTAAAACGACTCAAATATGATTTGAAGTTTGACTCTTATTTCTCTGAGTTGCAACTCATACCACACACTCTTCCATGCGCTATCGGTGTGCGACGCGCTCCACAACTGCTGCGCATGCGCAATTGCAAATAGTACTACAATTTTGTTATTTTAACTTCACCTCGGAAATCGAGCGGCTAGTGAGCGCATGGATGAGTGTGAGTCAAATAAATGAGTGAGTTTGTGCTCGAAATATGGAGTGTGTTGAAAGTGGTGGCGTGTGGAGAAGGTGGTTGCTTGGTGGTGCTTGATGGTGGTTGTTGGTGTGCTGGTGCGCTGCTCGTTGGTGTTAGTTTTGCTGTCGGTGCTGGGTAGCCGTTGTGTCTACTTGCCCTGCACGTCGTACGTCATTCATGCACACACAGCGGCAAAAGCAACTGTGCATCTCATTCACGCGCGTGCAGAATGAGTTGGCCAAGTGCCAAGCGTATTGTTTTGTAATTACTTTGTCTTTCTTCCCGCTTAATTCTGAAGCTGTTGTTGGTGTGGTGCTTCACATCTGTATGTACATACCTATATTTTGTAGTTGTAGCTCGATTTTGGAGCATTGGTGGTGATGTCTTTTGTATCGCTGCTGCTTCTACATATTTATTTCTTGTTGCCTTAAGTGGATGGCTGCAGTGTTGTTGTTAATTTTTTTTTTGCTTTTTTTACTTGTTGTTGTTGCCGTCTGTGTCGGTGC